GTGGTAAGAGAGCTTATTAGACTGTGAAGACTGTCAATGTGATAAGGGAGTGAAGCAATGTTTAGATGTAGGTATAAATTACAATTATTATTAAGAACTTTATTAAGTTTAAGAATGTCATAATATTTACAGTTAATACTTTTGTTGGAGATTTTGTTTATATTATTGAATAATTTTTTGAAGTGAGGGGGAGATTTTAGAGATTTTAAATTATTGGTTGGTATAGTCTGAAACGATAAAGTTAAAGAGAGCTCAAAATCAGAAAGTGAACAAAATGGCAAATTTTTGTTGATGCAGTCACTGCAATACCAGTCAGTAGAATATTTTTCAATAAAGCTATAGGTGTGTTTGTTAATATAATTACATTTAGGGTGCAACCAAGAAGAGCAGTAATTACATAGAATTCCTTTATGGCTATCAACCACTGTTTTATTGCAGAATTTACAAAGACTTCTTATTAACATGACTTATTATGCTTAAACAAAGTATAGAGAAAAAATAATTAAATAAAGATATCAACTATATATTTATAAAGAAACTGAGAGATTAAAACTAAGAAATGTTAATCTAGAAATGGTTGCTATTTTAAATATTGAGGAATGATCAGTTATAAAGAAATGATAGTAAGATAAAAGAGATTTAAATACTTTACACAGGAGAATAAGTATTACAGCTAGATAAAATTAGAATATTATTAACTTGATTTAGAATATAAATTTAGATATATTAATACCTCTAGTAGCTTTAGACATAGTATAATATAAATAATATATGTTATTTAAATAATTTGATGATAATAAGGTAAGTAATAATAAGTAAAGAAGGAGATAAGTAGTAATATTAGGTAAATAACATTTATATAAGATAAATTATGATGTAAATTGTAATAAAAGGTAAATAATGGATAGATATAAGATAAATAATGCTATATTATTTAATAATAATGATAAATATTTAATTATAATAATAATAGCAATGATAACTGCTGATAATAATGATCAAAAAGTCAATAATAAAAATAAATCCTGGAAAATACTTAAATTTACAAATAATATTTAAAGCAAAAAATAATCAAAACAAATGTAAAAAACTCTTGATCTTTTTCTTTTATTAACTTGATTCTTTCTTTACTTTCTCTTAGTTTATTAATTTTGTAATGTATCTTGTTCTTTAATTATATTTATTTGAGTCTATGAAGTTCTTACACATCTCTAAACTTTAAGTACTTTGGTTTTCTAATTAATTTTCCGATATATTTTTTATTTACTTTTTAGTCTTTTTTTTTAGTCTTTTTCTTTCTCTATAAATATTTTTTCCTCTAAATTGCTGTCATGTAAAGATATATTACTTTATTTGATAAACTTTTTCTTATTTACAATTCTATCTATAACTCCGCCATCTTTACCAAGCGTGAAAACAATTTGTATCATTTAATAACCCATTTTTCTTTATATAACCTGTGGAGTCACACAATCAATATTCAATTCTTGGACCTCTCTTTTTTTAAATTTATATAAATGACTTAAATAAACCTTCAAAACTAACGAGCATTATGTATGCAAATGATACAAACTTATTCCTTTCTAACAATGATAACGCTGAACTATTTAAAACAGTGAACAAAGAACTCAGACATGTATTTAATTGGTTCAAGTATAATAAGTAAACCTTGAATACTAATAAAACAAAATGGGTAATAATTTCATTCGGTTACAAAAAAGCAATTTCTCTTATCAAAATTACCTTAAATCTTTATCAATCAAAAGGAAATAAAAAGAGATTTTGTTACAAAATATTTAGGTGTTTATCTTGATGAAAACATTACTTGAAATCACCATATTGATTATATAAGCACAAAAATTTCTAAAAACAGGGGCATCCTTTATAAATCACGAATCTATCTGAATAAGAAAGTCTTAATCCAACTTTGTTATTCATTTATACATATTTATTTAATTTATGCCAATATTGCTTGGGGAAATACAGAAAAAAGTAAGTTGCAACGCCTTTATCTCCGTCAGAAACGCTCAATCCGTATAATCAATTTTGAAAATCGATTCTCTCATTCGAAGCATTATTTTATTGAAATAAGTAAATAAATATAATAAATAATTCTAAATATATACGAGTTAAATGTAATTAATATTTTATGTTTTGAATATATGTGGAAAAATAGCTTATCCCAAGCCGTCTTCAAAGATCTTTTTACTTTTAAACCAATCAGGAAATTAGATTTTGAGAAATAATACTTTTTTAAATGAACTTTTTTATCAAACAAACTTTAGTCAATTTTGTATTACCTATCGAGCGCCACACCTTTGGAATAAATTATTTTGCCAAATTTTAATTTTTAACTACCGATTACTTTTTGCCTTTTTAAAAAAATACTGAAAAACCTCATTCTTTCATTACATAAGTAGTAAAAGTATATTTTTTATCATTTTAAGTTTATATTATCATTTTTATTATTGGTTATATAAAGCTGTTCAACGACTAACAAATCTATACCAAAAAAAAAAAAAATGCAGGCATTCATTTGGAAAATAAATGCTTGAATTGTTTTTTTATTTAAACTTATAAAAGTTTGTGGGCGTTCCGATTGCAACAAAATCCATAATTGCAAGACGGACGGAATTTTAAACGAGATAAGTAGAACTTGAAAGCTTGTCTTTGCCTTTCAAGCTCAGCTAAAATTTGATACACAATGACTGTAACCTCTGCAATCATCCAATAATCGCTATAATCCAGTGAAGCCTGATTCCTCATTAAACGCTTATCATGTTGGTGCGTGCGCGCTCTTATTTGTTTCTTGTTAACAAAGTTGGTGCCCACAATCATCATAGTTTCTTTTTCAAAATTTTCAAAACTTTATATAGGCTCCTGTTTGAAAATAGACAGTGAGCTATATAATTCGTTCGATAATTTTAAGTTTATTTTAACGGCTTGAAGCATTTTATTCACTTTGTTGGGCCCTTTTATATTAGATGTTTATCATGACGGATGTTTCCAGCTAACTTATTTTTTTGAGAAGTCCACTAGCCTCTACTATCGTGTCTGACTCATGGGTTTTGTCATTAGTTAGCTCTTTTAATGCAACTCTGAAGTTTAAACGCATAATTCATATATACATAACAAACTCTAACAAACATCAAAAAAAAGTTTATTGTTATGTTTTTATATATATGTATTTTTTTTTTAAATTGATTCAAGATATAAAAATAGAACAAAAAGAGTTTCTCCTTTTTTTTAATTTTTAAATTCATTAAAATGTTTTTTTTTAATTATTTAAAAAAAATTAACTTCTTACTGGCTGGTCTCTGAAAAAACCTGGCCCCGCAAAGGCTTTCTCTCTCTATATATAAAAACGTAACAGTAAATTTTTTTTGATGCTTGTTAGAGTTTGTTATGTATATATGAACTATGCGTTTAAACTTCACATGGCATTAAAAAAGCTAATTAATGACAAAACCATGAGCCGAACACGATAGTAGAGGCTAGTGGACTTCTCAAAAAGTAGATTAGCAGTAAACATCCGTCATGATAGACATCTAATTGAAAAGGGCCCAACAAAGTGAAAAAAAATCTTTAAGCCGTTAAAATTGGTTCAAAATTAGCGAATGAATTATATAGCACACTATCTATTTTCAAACAGGAATCTAGTACTTAAACTATTAAACATCAGTTTTTTTCTTTGGCTTTCTGCAAGAATTGTGTAATCTCCATTGCTAATATAAATAACGTTGGACAATACGAAAGTATCCTAACAAGAATCCCAGCAAACATTATATAGTGGACCTAAATTATCACTTTGAGCAGACCACTGTGGGCATTTTTAATTGACTATTAGAAGTAGCTGCCAAAAGTGGCTAGCTGATATCTATCCACTATTAACATGTCGGAAAGTTATCGGCTTGCTATTTATAGCGGCCGCCACTTATGGTCCACTAAGTAACCCATGAGCAAAACTCTAATAAATCGCTTATATAGGTCCAATGCAAATCCACTAAAACAATGTTTGCTGGGATCTGTAAAAGTTTCGAGAATTATAAAAAATACAAATAGCAAATAAATACATGTATTTTGTTTGTTATTTCTCAACAGTAAATAATAATATTATCAATAAATTAATATAAGCTTCAGTTTGATAAATGAAGTGACATGTTACGTGTGGTTATGATTTACAAACCTTAGTACTAAGTATATACTATAGCATCAGATTAACCATGTGAGCATAATTTCTAAAAGTTCATCTTAAGGGTCATTTAAAAAGCACGTTACGAAAAAAAAGAAATATTTTTCGTTATTACAAAAACTCATCTTCGTCTATTTAAACTCCTCCTGAAACTCCATCACCTTTTCAAATTTAACAATCAAAAGCTTGAACAACGTTTTTAACTGGTCCTTCTATTAAATACATTGTCTTTCTATTAATTACTTATGAATAAACAACAAATTCGAGATCAAGCAACTTGAATCGGTACTTCATTCTTTTAATAGAACCATTTACTTAGCCACTCTGATTAATAATATTCTTTTAAAATCCTGTTTTATATTTAGTTATTTTTGATAAGTTAATGTAACAAAAACTTATAACTTGAAGTTATTGTGTCAGATCTTTTAAGGATATGACATATACTGGAGTATTTATAACAAGTTTTAAAACTAAAAATTTTAGTAGTTCCTACTTAAAAATTATATTCGGTTCAGCTCGGTTGCGTGCAAGTTGCATTGCACAACTTAATATAATAAAGTAACTAATGCCTAATTTTCATTATTTTGTTGCATTGTAACTTACATAAAATATAACAATGCTTGCCCAGTGACAACATATATTCAACACGTATATGTTACAAAGTAAAGATTTTTTCTTTTGTTATTCAAAATTTTAATTAGTATATGTTGTTATTTTATAATTATCTTTTTTTAATGTTTTTTTTTTTTGAATTATTTTTCGTGTTAAACCCCGTGTCAAAAACTTACGAAATTAAAGTTATGATTTTTTTCAGAGAATTTCGAGTAGACTTGAATCAAACTTGGTCGGTTGTGATTTCTAAAAATTAGCAACTAATATTTATTTGAAACAACGCAGATCTCACTCGATTGTATTCACAAGTAGGGATGGTGGTAAGTTAAACTTATACAGAGAGTCATAGTAATTAATCCTATTTTGTTCAATATGTAAACATGTACGTTAAGCACTTTAAGCTCCGAGTTGTAGAAATAAAAAAGATTTAGCAAAATTACTACTCAAAATAAGTAGTAAATACTACGTTCTTGCTGAAAAATTGAAGAGCTAGGCGTCTTCCAGATTTTCAATTACTAATACTGCTTTTGGCTAGTGCCTTATTTTGCAAGATTCTTTTTGCTTGTATTGCTTTAAATTACAATTTTCAAATTACAAGATTTTTAGATAATTAAAATCAAAGTTGGAGTATCTAGCCTATTCGCTTGTTGAAAACCTATTTTTTTTTTTTTTTTAATATTTTTATATAAACAGGAATCAATATTTGTAATACTTAAACTAAAAGTATATATCTTTGTATGTTTATATTAGGTAAATGGACTGATTTTTTAAAATTGATCAAATACTAAAATCTTGTATATTATTAGAAAGCCCTCAAACACAGTATTTTAAAGGTAAAAAATTATGAAAATTAGACAATTCTATAAAAGGTTATGACATTTTTAGTAGCAAGTTTTCGATATATGGGTTTCTTGATAAAACTGTGGTCAAAACATTTTTTCACATAAATTGTTAAAACTTTGCCAGTTCTTATTCAAATATCTATAAGTTGGTATCAAAAGATGGAAATAAAAATTGACAATAATTTCAAACATTTTTGTGAAAAAGGGCGCATTGAGGGATCCGGAAAAGAGTTTTTCTCATAAAGAGTAATTTTTTTGTGAAACTAGTAATACTTATATAAAAAAAGTTGTTATTATTTTATTCCACATTACTAGTGTAGATTACAGGTCTATCTTAAAGTTGGGTGTTGGGTTGTGGTAAAGTTTAACACACCCTATCAAAATTTCATTTTTTAAAAACATTTCAATTTTTACTAAACTGATTAAATCTATTATAATAAATGAAAGATATATTTAATACTTTGAAAAATAGTAACTAATAGTGTTTAAATTACCTTTATGGGAGGAGGTCTATGCCACCTTCTCTTTCTGCCCATAAAATAAAAAATAAATTTCAACAGTTTAGGTACCAAAAGTGCAACACTTTGTAGGGTATCTGGGATACCTTATTTTTCGATGAAATTTGACAGGTAAAAATAAAATCAGTTTAGAAAATTTAACAGATAGTTTTAAAAAATAACCTTATATTTATTTGACAACATCTTTCCATGAGAACACCAGCAAAATTTTCAGGAACAATAAAGATAATGAATAAGCCTAATACATTACATGAAAGTAGTGTAGTTACAACTATTAAATAATTCAACTGTTGACTAAATCAGCTAATATATTTTCTAAAGTTGACAAAATAATAAAAAATCGACAAATCAACAAAATACATTTTAAAAATCGACTAAGTCGACTAAAAGTCAATTAATAAGTCGAAATATAGGGTTAGTTTATTTTTTTAAAATAAATTGTTTAAAAAACAATAAAGCAATTTATTTTCATTTTCTATTTTTTAACATCATATCATTTAAATATTAATGGAGCAAAACCAAATATGAGAGAACAACTGCTCTGACAAGTGAACAGTTTATTCCCTGACCCCAATAATTTAAGGACTGCCTTAAGTATTCGCTATATATCAAAGTCTTTACAATCATATTTACAATGTGATTCTATAAAAAATATATTGATTTTGGAGGTTTACAACTTAACTTTGTCCTAGTGTCCTGAGCCAGCTTGAAACAGCCATGAATGAAGGTATTTATGAAAATTAAAAGCATTGAGTAAACAAAAGAAAAAAAATTAATGAAATACATAACCAATTGTTTAATTAGGTGTAATTGTTTTCTTTTTTTTTTATGTAGTTATTAAGGTACTCTTTGAAGTCTTTACGGCATTAAAAAACCGAAAAGAGCCTAAATAGTGCTAATATGCCTAAATAATGCTAATATGCTAAAACTTTATGAGTAAACAAAAAATAAGTAATAGTTATAATTAGAGAAGACATACTTTCTAAAATAGCCATTCGCTATGTACATTGCTACCAGCAAATAATAAAATTTATTTAGCAAGTTCTGTTAGGATACTGTTTTGCGTTTGCTGACCAACACTTGTAAGAGTTTGATGTCCAATTTAAGCAAACGGTCTCATGTAAAAATAAATATACTTTGCAATTGGAATTATTCTTTCTCACGTCATCATATGTGTTCAATTTTTCATAGAGAATAGTTTAATTGTTTTTATTTACATTTCTTTTTCTTACAAAGTAGAACTGAATCGTCACTGGTGCTGATTTATTGGTATCAAGCACCCTTTCACTGAAAAGGATTTATCCCATCGTTTTATTGCAACTGTATAATTGGCATTTCCATTAACGTTAAACGATGTTTTAAGTTCAGGTTGTTGTGTAGATCTATCTAAATCAACTTCTGAAATTACCTTTGAAATGCAAATACCTGAGCTGGTTATTTTTGTAGTCTTTTTGAGTGGTTTTAAAAGTATGATACATTTATACATAACTATGGTTAAATCAAATTAATGTAACAGTCAACAAATAATGTGTGCTGTTACACAGCCAAGTCATAAAATAACAAAAACGCTCATATTGTAGAGTTTTTCTTTAACTTTAACTAATAAAAACATCCCGTTTTTATGAGTTAAAGTTAAATGTAATTTTATAACCAGAGAAAAGCTTTCTCTAGTTATAAAAATTTAAATATCTTTAAAGATGTTTCATTCGACTTGTATTCTGCCAGTTTGTAAGGTGTTGTAAACTTTACAACACTGCATCATTAAGTCAAAACTGCCAATTTTTGACTTAATGTCTTTTGTCAGTATTCCCACGATATACACTAGGTCTGAACCCTCAAAATTGAAAAGTGTCACCAAATATTTGGCAGCCGAATATTTGGTGGGTCTAGCAGAATATTTGGTATTCGACAAAACCACTATCTATGACATCTCCAGTTATAATAGTACATGCTTTTGTTTTTAAATGAACAAGCAAAAATAAAAGATTGGAAAGTTAAATCAAATAAAAAGAAAAAAAGATTTTAAGATTTTTACTCTACTAAAATTGACTTTTAGTTGATTAGTAGTTAGTCAATAGTCAATTAAATAGACTATTTGTTTTTTTTAGTTGACTAATTTCGATTTTCGACTAATCGACTTTTAGTCGATTTAGTCAAAGTCGATAAGAACACTAAATAAAAGTCACATATAAATCAAAGTAAATTCTTCTTTTTTTCAAAAACGGTCTGAGTTTATATATGTTTCTAAAAAGAGATACAACAAAAACACGTTTCCTTGATAATACTAAAAAAATGTTTGAAAAACGTGTCTTCAGTTTTTTGACGTATTTTTCGGCTCTAGATCTCGTGATTTCTGTGACTATTTATATAGTTTTTGCATAGGTTTTTTTGTTTATTCTAGTTTAAACAATATAAACTTGGATCAGGAAAAAAATTTTTTTTCTGGGTGTCGTTTTTATTTTTATCTGAAGCAAAAGAATAATTACAAAAATTTCAAAAAATACTTTACTATATTTTTTATCGTTACGTTATGATAATACTTTATCATAACGTAACGATAAAAAAACTGTTTTTTGATTGCATTATTTTGTAGTATTTTGTTATTATTATTAATATTATTTTCACAAGTGATTCTTTGAATGATATTTTGAATTTAGATTATAGTATAATGATATTTTGAATTTTTTGATTAATGTAGTATCATGCAGAAAAAAATTTTTTGTGGTATTTTTTATTTTTATGGTGGTCTTTTTTTCTTGTTTGGTTTAAGAAATAAAAATAAAATATAATTAATTTTAAAAAAGTACCTTTTAACCCTTTTTTTACCCTTAAAAGGTCCTTTTTTATATCCAGATATGATCTGATTGTATATAAATTGTTGAAATGGAATAAACCACCATTACTAATACTTTCTTGCACAGAAGCTTCAGGAATTCAAAATAATTTTTCCCTTAGTAGATAAAGCAAAAATACTGTTTTTAAATTCTGCACAAAAATAAGTACTTATTCAAGCATGCAATGGCGTTAGTTTATGTTTAAGTTGTTGAAATTACGTCTTATAAAGAGGTTTTGCATTTGGCTCCTTTTATTTTTGTAAAACAATAATTTGGCGCAGTAAACAAAACTGAAAAATTTTGTCTGTTAAATTTTTTATAGTATTTGCATATACCTGGTAGGGTTCAATATCAGGATCACATTTTTTAGAGACAAGCACTCTACCATAATTCTGTAATTATAACTGCCAATACAATATTTTTTTATTATACATTAACAATGTTTTTCATACTTTACTATTTTTAGCTTGTTCTAGTGTTAGGTGATCTTCATATTCCTTATAGAAAAAGTGGATTACCTGCTAAGTTTAAGAAATTACTGGTAAAGGTTTTTTTTTTTTAAAGCAAATTAGTTTTACATTGTTTTTATTGGTATATGGTTAGAATTAAATACTTATTGGCTGTTTTAAGGGTTTTACTAAATTTAATAAATATTTATTAATAGGTTCCTGGGAAGATACAACATATATTATGCACAGGAAACTTATGTACAAAAGAATCATATGACTACTTGAAAACATTGGCTAGTGATGTTCATGTTGTCAGAGGGGACTTTGATGAGGTAAACACTTTATAAAATTAATTTATTGAAAAGTTTAAAAAACTACTCAATAATTTAAAGTTTTTTAATATAAAATTTTACATTATAAGAAACTTTACATAATTACTAAAATATTACTAAACATTATTTTTAACCAAAACTAGAGTTTGTATTGAAATTGCAAAATTTGTATAAAAACTAATTGAGTCATATTTTTCTACTATTATATTGTTTTAAGTGGAAGAGAATTTTCTTTTAAATTAATTAAATTTTAATTTAATCAATTTAAAAGATTGGCTATGTCATTAAAATAACGAAATTAGAGATAGATGAAAAAAGGCATCAAAAGATAAACATATTTTTTTAAAAAATGTCTGCTCCTACACTTTAAATGTGTTCTATATAATAAAATAATACTGGAATAGAAAAATTAAAAAAATTATTATTATTTAAAATTTCACTACCTAAAATTTTTAACTAAAAATAAAAATATGCATTTTTAGAAAAAAAATTTACTAAATTTTTTTTTCTCTGAATGTTTTTTACAAAATGATAGTTTTTTTTTGAAATTTTTATATATCATTTCACTTCTTTTGAGACACAACATGATAAACTTTTGAAGATCTTTTTTCTTTTTTTTAATAATATCAAGACCCTTGAATGGGTTGTTCAAAGGTCTTGAAGGATCCTTAAAAATTTATAAAAAAAAGTTAAAATCCATATTCAAATACTGGAATTTGAGCGCAAATTTGGCCGCCAAATGGACGTGGATATGTCATGTTATTTACTTTTTTTCTGAGTATAACACACATTAATTGATATAACTTTTATCCCTTCGTACATGGGCACATTGAGTGTGTTAAATTTTTTTTTTTTTGTAATAAAAATAATGTACTAGACCTCCTTATGGGGTAGGTAAAATTTTATTAAAATATTTCTTCAGTTATGCAAATTAAGCTGGTCTTTCTTTTGGTCTTGCTCGTTTTGGAGGAAGTGTAACCACAGAAGATGTTGATTTTGACGAATCACCTGGATCTGTGATAGGTGCAGTTGTGGTAATTTTCAACCTTCCGATTGGTCGGCAAGCAATTGGTGTTTTCAAGTGGGCTTTTACTAGTGTGGCATTTTGCTTTCACTCCACCTTCCATTTCTTCGATTCAAACAAAGTTGGAGACAAGAGTGACAGCTCCATTGTCCATCTACCTGACTACACTTATGTCGCCTTCTGCTGAGACTTTGCAGTCAGTTGATCCGCATCCATCCTTCTTCATTTCTTTTCCAGACTTTAACGGACAGCCCATTAATCTGCTGGATTTAATGATACCAAGGGGCTGATTCAATAACATTTTAAGCTGTCTAATGAGGTTCATGCCAGTAAAGTAATTATCAAAACAGCTTGTAGTTTTTATGTTGTGGAATAGTTTCTGACAATCTTAGGGCAATAGAAGCACCAAGTCCCAGGTGTTTGTGCTCTTCTGATATGCCTGTACTTGCACCCTGATAGAGTTCAAAATCAACTGTTCTACCAGAGGTGCCACAGACAACAAAGTTTTTCAATCAATTAACATTGATATGAATGCTGTTTTGCAGCAGCAAATAGCAATAACAGGCATAACATCTGCCACTGCATTTACTATAGTTGCTTTTTGCCAATACATCCTTGTTCTGGGAAAAACTAAATTTGCTATTACAATTTTAATACCAAAAAATTTTCAGCTGAATTTCAGCTGTTGAAGTAAGTTTTACCAGTTTTGTGTAGATGATATTTGTTCAGCAAATATTTCAAATATTTCTGGGTTAAAGTAATTAAAAAAATATGAGGATGGTTAATGTAGGCCATCTCCCAAATTTAAATTGTCCTGCCATTCTGTGCTGCTTTCAAATGCACTTCAAAGAGACTGCCACTTGATCTGAGTCTTTTTTTCTCTTTTGTTCCCGCTGTTCACATATGTGCTGGGCTGATCATCTTCATATGATCTTTCAATTTCATCCTCATTTTCATCAGTCACCATATCGGCAGCAGAAGGGTTAAAGGTCTTATCCCCAGAATCATCAGAATCTGATAATTTAAATTCCGAGTCATCAAGATGCAACAAACCTTCAACTGTAAACCACCTGTGTGGATTATCTGAAAATATATTTAACACATACTTATTTATCTTTGATTATAAAATCAATTTGATAATACTCAGTAAAAAAATAAGTATGACAGGCTTAAAACAGATGTTTGATTATATAAACACTAGCTTCAGTAGGTAGGTTTTAATAAATAAAATATTCTATTTTTAATGATTTTATTACAACCTTTTGTTATTAACAGCTATACTATTAAATAAAACATATTTTATATCTGAGATTAAAAGAAATATGTTTACACACATACAATTGTTAATTAATGATTACTAAGACATCCAATTAGTTCCAGTTAAGTTCCACCTTACTAATTTCACAATCCTCTCTTCTCATTGCTATTGGCACACAGTGTGTATAAATGTACACAACATTATAAAAAAAATTTCTACAGTAAAAAATAGTCACCTGTTTTATTTTTAGCTTATGTGTATGCAATTATAAACATATTATTAAGTACATCAGATACAAAATTTGACTAGAGATAATTTATAATTCTTAAATTAAAATAAAGGAAAAACGGTATGTTTAAAAACGCAAAAAAGTTTACTTTAGAATGTAAGGGTTAAGTACACATTTTGTTAACACATGCAACAGGTCATAAATTAACTGGGTGACCTTCCAAGCGTTTATCTCTTTTCAGTTCAGGAAAATAAATTTTTTTATTGTGTAATTATCTCCAGGAAAATTATCGTCCAGGTTGACAAGCTCCTTCCACCCTTGCCACACTAAAATGTTTTTTTATTTCAGAGTTTTTCTACTTTCTAGATTTTCTAGATTGTAAAACTTGTTAGCCACTATGGCTAAAGAACCTTGAAATTAAAAAAAAAAAATGACATCATGACAAGTTAAAGTTGTTTAAAAGAATATTTGGCAGTATTTATTACTAATTTTTGAAAATCGATTTTAATTAATTCTCTGCATCTAGAAAATTAGTTATTTATTGTCTTGTTCATCTTCATTCATTCTTTGAGATACAGCTTCATCAGTTTGTTTTTTAATTTTATAAAAAAAAAAAAGATATTGAGACTTGTTATATCCTTGATTGTTCCAAAAAATGACATGATCTACAAAATATTCATTTTGTAACATGATCTTTTGTAGATCATGTGGCAAAATGTATTTTGTGACAAACTTTTGTCTATAAAAGAAACTATTTTTTGAAATTTTCAATAAAATAAAGTGATAAGTTTAATGAATCACACTTTAAGGAAACTTGTTACAAAAAAAAAATTGACTACACATTATTATTTCAGAGACACCTTAACACTCAACTCCAAAAGTGGCAAAAGTTTTCTTCATATCTTGAATAATCCTTAAAAAATAATTTTTATGTTAATTAAATTTTCCAAAACAAATTATTTATCAAGATATCAGCCAAAAAGTTTATAATTTTTAATCCCATTTTTTTTTCACAAAGGTAAGTTCCAGCTCTTTGATATTTAAAAAAATATATACTGGTCTGAATAATGCACTTTTGTAGTTATTAAATGGAATCAATACAAACAAGTTCTTTCAAATGAGTTATAAGCGATTTATTTAGGCTTTCCCATTGGCGATTCATTTTTACGTAGATGAGAATGCCTTTATATATAACCTTTTGTTAAACATATAATCAAATAAAAATAACACAATCAAGAAACGCTTTAAAACACAGCTTTAACAAAACAATCAACTAAGGCTTTAAATTTCTAACTTAACTTAAAAAACAAAACTATTATTAGTGCTATAAATAGTAAATTTAAAAATTATCCTGATATTTGTTTAAAAACAAGTTCTGCTGATAAAATCTTAAAACCCAAAATATTTTTATTTTATTTTTGGTAAGAAAAAATTTGATTTTTATTTTGAAATTTTTATTTTTTTTTTTTTAGTAAGAAAAGTTTCCCGGTAAATGAAAATAAATTATTTTAATGGAAATTAAAAAAAAAACAAAGTAGAAAAGCAGTATTCTTTGTTTAATTACGATTTTTGTTTTGTCAAAAGTGTACAGTTGAACTAAAATGCTTAATGTAGCACAATTGTTTTTTTATACAAGGGGAAAATCCAATCTAATTGTGTAATTAATCCCTTTAACATTAAAGATCTTATCCTCCTTTTCTTCACCATTACCAGTGCAGCTCACTAGGTTAATGATTATGGTTAAATTGCCAAAGTTAATATATTTTTGACCAAGTATACCAACTTTTGACATGAAACTTTCAATAAAGTTAAATACTATCATGCTTACTACAATATTTAAGATACTTGTTGCTATGGTAGTATTTGTAGTCTCTATGGTAGTATCTGTAGTCGCTATGGTAATATTTGTAGTCGCTATGGTAGTATTTGTAGTCTCTATGGTAGTATTTGTAGTCGCTATGGTAGTATTTGTACTCGCTATGGTAGTATTTGTAGTCGCTATGGTAGTATTTATCTAGTTTTTTCCTCAAAAATCGGTGCTTTGGAATCCCAACTTCATCTTTTTAAAATTCATATAATCTGCAGGTTATTAATTCATCTGTTAACTGTTTTCTTGTTCTTTAACTTTCTTCTTTGCTTTCTGTTAACTCTTTTGTTAACTCTTAAATGTTTGCAGCCTTGTTGCAAGTGAGTTCATTTAAAAAAAGTTGTGCTACTCTGAGAAAATTATTTTCTTTTGTGTAAAACGTCTCCTGTAAAATGATTTTAATAGTTATTTCTAAGCTCTTTTGTCTTTAACAGAGTTTATGTTTATCTTTTGATGAAATTATTGATATTTGTTTACTGATCTGAAACATTTTTTAAGACAGGCACAGTCACAGTCATTCAACTATCAAAAAACATTTTTTGGTGCTCAAAAGAAATTGATCAGGATTGCAAAATATAAAGAATACATTTTTTAAAAATGTAAAAAATTATGTATATTTTCATTTATTGTTAACACTTTGTGTATTAGTAAATTGAATAAAACATAAATTATTGGTTTATTAGTAAATTATTGGTAAATTATTGGTTTATAAAATTTTTATTAAATTTTATAAAAATTTTATAAACAAATCAGAGGTGACTTTTGGGACACCCTTTATTATTGTGTTACTTTATTGTGGTAAAGTATTGTTGTTAGTTGTTTTTGTTGTTGTTGTTCCAAATATGACAATAAAAACAACTGTAAATAGTAAAAACATGAAAGTTTTTCAACTTTAAGTTTTTCCTGAATTCAAAAATTTTTTGGTAAATACAAAATTAAATACATATTTCTGCAAAATATTTGTTTTTTAACTTTTTCAGTCATTACCCATCCAAAAAAAAATAAAGTTTCAAAATAATTGAAAAAGCCATCAGCTTAAAACTAAATAATTGAGAAATAAAACAAATTAATTGCGACTCTAACTTAAAACTTAAAAGACAAATCTAAGGTAAATAATTTCCAAATTTTTTTGTTTACAAAATGTTTTCCAGATTTTTAAAAAATAACCTGGATAATCATTGAAGGTTTTCACTAAGGTTTATTATTTTAATACATTATTAAATATATAATAAAATTTAAAAGTTGATAAAATTATCAAATAATAAGGTGTAAGTAAACTGACTAAAAAGTATGTTATTATTTTTGAACTATAAAAATGTTTCATAATAAGTCTATTTTCAATTTTTTTAAAGTTGTTTAATTTCAACTTAGATTTAAATTAACGTGTTCTTTTATAGAACATTACTTACCCAGAACAGAAGGTTGTAACAGTGGGTCCATTTAAGATTGGTTTGTGTCATGGACATCAAATTGTTCCTTGGGGTGATCCAGAGTCTTTAGCAATGGTAAATAAAAAAAACTTTTTCTGTGCTAATCTTTTACAAAAGGTTTTTATCAATTTTAAATATTTTTAATTACAGGTTCAGCGTCAGCTTGATGTTGATATTTTAATTACTGGTCATACACATCGGGTATTTATTTTTGTTATTTTTTCTTTGACATCAGATATTTAATATAAAAATAATGGTACTAATAATGATAATATACTCATATTATATACAAGTTAAAAGGGTAAGAAGAAGATATTTATTTTTTCTTTTATAAGTATTTATTAAATATAAAAGATCTTTAGTGATATTTCATGCAGAATTAAATCCTCAGTACAAAATATGTATATATATTATATATACAACCCTCCAAATTAGAGTTGGCATTCTGCAATGCCTACCTAATTACTGACCTAAGAGGGTCTGAAGTCGGCAAAAAAATGTTGACCTCCGAAATTTAAAACTCAACTATGTTAGCAATTTCAAATGAAATAAAAACAAAAAGCAAACATTTCATTTAAATATTAAATAAAATAGTTAAAGTAAAAACAGCAAATTGTACATTTTATTTAACATCTAAATAAAATAAAATGAAAAAACTTTTGATTTAAATTTTAAATAAGATGACAAAATAAACGTTTCATTTGATTTCTGAATAAAATTAATAAGTAAAAAAGAAAATACTTAATTTAAATTTTAAATAAAATAATAAAAATAAAAATGACAAAACAAATGTCTTATTTAAATTCTAAAGATAATAATTGAAATAAAAACGAAAAAACAAAATTTTTTAATTAAATTCTAAGTAGAAAGTTTTTAATTAAATTCCGAAAATAATACGAAAAAGAAAATAAGAAAACTTATTTTTCATTGAAATTCAAAATGAAAGCAATTAAAATGAAACAACAAAACAAACTTTCTTTTAAAATTTTAAATACTTTCAATTTAAATTGTAAACAGAACAATTAAAATAAAAATGAAAAAAACAATTTTTATTAATTCTTAATGAAATAGTTAAAGTAAAAGCGGCAAAACATTTTAATGTTTTATTAAAGTTCCAAATAAAATGGTAAAATCTTGCGTTCGTTTTTCAATTATTTTAGCCACTCCACATTTGTTTTTGCCTCAATTTAATGCTAAATGCACGTTGGTCAAATCCTGTTTCTAAATTTTGTGCCGACCTGATGCTGACCGAAAACAATTTTATATATCTAGTTTTTTGACAACCTTATTTTCTTTATTCAAAGAGTTGTATAATTTACGTTTAACAACATTTGTTTAACAAAATAGCTATACTATATATACTTTTAATAATACTGAAAATAAATTTCATTGATACTTTGTACATCAATCTATTTTAAACAAGCTAAACTTGAATGCTTTTGAATAAAAAATATTTTCAATGCGTAATCATAATTAAGATTGAAATCTGTCATAAATGATAAATTGTATATATATATATATATATATATATATATATATATATATATATATATATATATATATATATATATATATATATATATATACACAGTGAATTAAGATTGGTATGGTACTAATACACTTTGCTTACTGTAATTTGATTGAAATTTTAATTGAAACTCTTTGGTATATTTTTTATGCACTTTAATTGTTCAAATGTTAACTTTTTTTTTTTTTTTTTTAATTATCTTCGCTTCCATCAAGGTTGCAAGCAACCACTAATTAGTGTTGGAAGTTACTGGAAGAGAAAAGATAAAGATTGTAGAGCAAGATAATGATTGACAGACTACTTGAAATATTGCAAATTATATGAATCAGCAAAGCAAGATGAAGGAAGCGAATTCCAAACAACTGATGTTCGAGGAAAAAAACTAAACGAATAAGAGTTTTTGGAGCATTTAGGAACAGTAACAGAAAAAGGATGAGACTTAATTGAATGACGAATAACACAAGAATGAATTTTAGTAGATGGCACAAGAGACGCTAGCTCTTTAGAGCAGTGCCCATTATAATATTTGTAGAAAAGAGAAAGAGAAGCAACATTACGACGATGTGACAGAGGTTGAAGGTTGGCTGCGAGAGCATGTCCAACTATGTTTACAATGCGATTTTGCACCTTGTCTAAAAGAGAAAGGGCATCATTAGAAGATCCGCCTCAGATATGGCAACAGTATTCCATACAAGGCCAGATTTGAGATTTATAGAGATAGAGAATAGAATCCAGAGTAAGAAAGTGACGAGCTCGATAAAGAGAAGCAACTTTAGCAGATGCTAATTTTGCAACGGATTTGATATAAGGTTTCCAAGAAAGATCAGAAGTAAGAGTTAATCCTAGAAGATGAAGGGTAGGAGACTCATCGAGTACATTACCGTTCATAAATATAGGAAGGTCTAAATTATTGCAATAACGATTGGCCGAAAAAAATTGAGTCTTATTTGAATTAAAGTTCACCAGCCACTGCGAGCCCCATGCTGTAGCAGAAGTGAGATCCTTTTCGAGCTCAGATGCCCCCTGCAAGCAATCAGAGGGAGTTGGCTTCTTATCGTGACAAGAATAAATGGTAGTATCATTAGCGAACAATGCCACCTTAGATGTGAGAATATCTGGAAGATCGTTAATGTAAATTAAAAAGAGTATAGGGCCAAGGATTGAACCTTGGGGAACCCCTGAGGTTACAGAATAAGAAGAAAAGTGCTGTCCATCAAGGACAACTTTTATACTACGATTGGAAAGGAAGGATTCAATATTCTTAAAGATGTTTCCAGATACACCATAAGAAGAAAGCTTATGGAGGAGACCAGCATGCCAAACTTTATCAAACGCTTTAGAAATGTCAAGAGCAATGGCCTTAACCTCTCCACCTTTATCTAATGCGCGATAAAACCTATTGATTATTACTGATAGCAAATCAGCCGTAGAACGAGAAGATCGAAATCCATACTGATGATCAGAAAGTAGGTTATGAGATTCGAGATGAGAGATTAAGTGTTTGTTAATTAAAGATTCAAAAACCTTGCTTATGGGACGGTAGTTAGATGAGTCAGATCGCTCTCCAGAATTTTTAAAAATAGGGATAACAGATGCTGCTTTCCAGCAGGCTGGAAAACAAGACTCTAATAAGCACTTGTTGAATAGTTTTGATAGACGACAGCTCAGGAGAACACTTCTGCAAGACTATAACAGGTATGTTGTCCGGGCCGCAAGCTGTAGAAGAGTCTAAGCGGGAAATTACTTTAGATACAGAAGCTGGAGTGATACGAATGTCGAGCAATGGATCAACCTGTTTGACTGGTATATCAGGTAAAACGCAACTAGTGGCATCAAGAGATGATATTGATGAAAAGTTCTTGGCAAACAATTCAGCTTTGTCTTTAGGTGAGGCGACAAAGTCTTAACCGTACAAAAGAGGTGGAATTACAGACTTGCCCTTATTATTGATACTATTAAAGATTCTCCAGAAGTCACGAGAGCCTAATTTTTGTGATGAAATACGAGATTTCATGATCTGAGAATAGCGGGTTTTGGCGTTAGACAAAACCTTTTTACAATGGTTCCTAGCAGTAATAAAGAGTAATAAACATTTTAAAAAGTAATAAACATTTTAAACCCTCAGTCGATAGAGCATATATATATATATGTGTATGTGTATATATATATATATATATATATATATATATATATATATATATATATATATATATATATATATATATGTATATATGTATATATATATGTATATATATATATGTATATATATGTATATATATGTATATATATATATATATATATGTATATATATATATATATATATATATATATATATATATATATATATATATATATATATGTATATATATATATGTATATATATATATATATATATCACCGTTTGAAAATTTTGACTTTTTTGGTTACGAAACATCCCGAAAAAATCCTCTTAGGGTATGAAACTACACATGTCAAGAATACTATATCAACTTACTTTAAAATCCAAAATTAAAATCCGAGAGAGATATTTTGATTTAAATTTTTGAAATAATATAAAAACATTAGCAGTTTTTGTTTTTGAAAATAGCGGTATTGGGGTGGGTCGTAGTGATTTTTTTAATAAAATAACTTTTTTAGACAATTAATTTGTAAAGATTTCGTATTTAATAAATTTTTTTGAGAAATGAGCTATAAGGGGAGATATTTCCATTTCAAGTTTTGAATCGATTAATTTTTGAATCGCGAATTACGATGAAAAATTTGATACGTGAATTGCCGTAAATTTGTACTTTCCTAAAATTTGTACTCTTCGGACATTTCCAATTTTACGGACTTTTTGTACTTTTAGTACATTTTCATACGTTTTATGACCTCTTTGTACTTTATGAATTAGTTTAAATGATATCTTCAAACAGATCACAAGTTCATCTCAGATTTTGAAATGCCTACTTTTTCAAAGGATCATAATCAATGTCGGCAGGTCGTTTGCACACTTTGTATGAAAAAAAGTGACAGAGAAATTTCAGAATATTTCATCAGTGAAATCAAAAGATTGATTTCTGGCAACATCAACTTTGATGATGAGAGGGTTCCACGAGGGATCTGTGTCACCTGTAGGTTCCTGCTTAGAAAGTTAGCTTCTGGAGATGAAGAAGTGAGTATACCTCAACTTTATGACTTCGAATCCATATTGATCAAACCATCAACTCGCCAGACAACTAAATGTGATTGCATCATTTGTCAAATTTCAAAAACCAAAGGGAAAGGAAAGCACCCCTTTGAAAAACCATCTCAGCAAGAAGTGCAAAAAGAAGAAAAATCTTTTGAAAAACGATGCACAAAATGCCTATCTGTCATTGCTCGAGGACTGCCTCATAACTGCAAAGAAGCAACACGTCGTGAAAACTTGAAAGCTCTGGCATTGGCAGATCCGTTAGGGGCAGAGCAAATTGCATCATTCATCGTTTCTTCCAAAGAGGTATCTTCCGATGGAACTATTCTGATTAGCCGGTTTCATGGAAAGCCTCTTGAAATCAGACCAGGTATGTTAAAGTATTGTTGCTGGGTTTGCTTTTTAATATTGGTTTTTTTCTTATTTGTTTCTTTATTCACAGGATCAAATGCAACTCAGGGTCTCTCCTCAGAGCCATTGACAACACAAGATATGATTAAT